CCCGGGACACCTTCTTCCCCTTCTGTCGGTCGTCATCCAGGAAGCAGCATAGCTCTCGGAGCTCCTGGTTATCATCCTGTAGTTTCTGGTTGATCTCTTTCAGACTCCGGATCTCGTGGAGGTGGACCTGCAGACTCCGGTTCACGTCTTTCATCATGTTTCCATGTTCCAGCATCAGGTCCATGTTGCGACTCTCCAACCTCCTCAGCCTCCGGATCAGATCCTCCTTCCCCAGCATCAGCAGCTCCTCATCGGGCAACTGGCTCGCATCCGCCCCGTGACCGTCCATATCCCAGTCGTTTCGGCTGTTATCCTAATAATCAGGGAGGCTTTTAACCGGTCTGGCAAGCTAAATCATTATGAAACCCAGATCCATGATAGATTACACAGCGGGCCCCGCTGGCCCAAATCAGTCTGCCTGGCTTTTAACGCTAATCCGCTCGCGGAGCAAATCACGACCCGAACACAGAGATGTCCTCTCACTTTCTGTAACACTGACGGTAAAGGGGCATCCCGGAGACACGATGAGACCTGGTCTGAAGCTGAAGACTGGAGCCGGATGATCCTCGAAGTGAAGGAGCATGGGAGGAGAATCAGAGAGAGATAGAGAGAGAGAGAAAGAGAGACAGCGAGAGAGAGAGAGAGAGAGAGAGAGAGAGAGAGAGAGAGACAGAGAGAGAAAGAGAGAGAGAGAGAGACAGAGAAGCAGACAGACAGAAAGTATGGGTCATCTATTGACAGCATCTTTATGTATAGTCCACAGGCTAAGTCCCTAAAACAAGAACTGCTTAACTTTAAAGGGTGCGTCACTGTGCCCCTACAGGTACATAACATTCAGTGAGCCCAGTATGAGACACTGGGGATGTTACTGGTCCAAGCAGGTTTTATTTGTTTCCAACTAACTCAATATAGGCTTCGTTTATAAGGTCACAGAAGACCCATGTGCTATCCAGCATGTTCCTTGATAATAATAATAATAATGGGGATGATGATGATTGTTATTATTACAAAAATGCCATTCATTACACCCGGACCAGTTTCAAAGTGGCTCTAACAGTATTCACCAAATGAAGCCAGGTTCATTTCCATAAAAACATTTCCCTGTAACATAATCATCACAGTTATTTAAGCTATTTCTTTGTTTCATACCAAGCATTTTGATTCTCACATTTATCAGATTGTCTATTTGAAAATCATAAGTGATATAAGTGTTTATTTTCCACTTCAAAAATTAGCGGTGGAATTCACTTTGCTCTTTCTGCACTGGCGTGCCAGTTCTATGTTGGCTGAATATCCAGCTTCTTTAAACATATTGTCATTTTATATAGGCTACACTCCTCTAGGCCTCCATCCCTTGACATAGATTAGTACAATAATTCCACTGTGTAAGACTATGGGAAAAATGTTTTACAAAGCTAACTGAAATCACCTTTATCGAGACATTTTTATTACAGCATACAAATTTAGAGCATATTAAAATTCAACACATACAATGCAATATACAAAAACTGCAGTCACAAGATAAAAGCAATGAACTCTCAAGACACACAGCTACATGTCTCCTTCACCACATTCTTTATGATGTCCTTAAATTCTACAGTAGATATGAATGTGTCTAACTTTAGATCTGACCAAGGTGCATAGTAGGAAAGTGCAGTTTCCCCCAGATCTGTCAAAATTCTAGGCACATTAAAAAGTAACCACCTGGAAGAGTAAACCACCTGGAACAGCGTAGCTGGTAACCAGCAGAGCTGCGAGCTGGACGTTTACCCAGTATCGCTTTATAGATAAATATATACCAGAGGGTCCATCCCAGTGGCCAGTAAGAGACCTGTATCTGTGATAATGTAGTAGTAACAGTAATATCAGCAGTACAATGATTTCAGGGATCAAGTAATTCAGACTGGGTAAGGTCGCCATCTGCTGGACAAGGGGAGTGAAGGTACGTGATTCTTTCATAATGTGTTGCAAAAGATGACCCAAGAAACTGCAATAGTTTATCAGAAGAAACCACAGGCCCACAATGCACTGCGTGCTGTAATTGGAACTCAGAAAACTGGATTCTCAGTAAAAACAATACACGCCATTTTAGATAGTGGGATTAGCCTAATAAAAGAGTTATGTGGTACTGTTAATGTCGTTGCTGCAGATGCTGTCATCCTTACTGAGGCTGTTCCACAGACAGCCCCACTGTTCTGTGTCTGAGCAACCGCCTCCGGCTTTCTCCCATTTTGTGTCCAGATGTACCGGGACGGCAGATGGCATCAAGGAACAGTCCACACAGACTCTCTGGTGTCTCTCTACGCTGCAGCCTGACGACAGCCCCGGTTGACAGAGGACACAGCGGTCCACCACGTCAGAACGTCAAATAAAGCGTGTGGTTGGACTCAGAGCAAAGTACAAACAGGAAACCGTTTCTGCACAACTTTCTCTTCCATGGTCTCCGGCGCACGTCGTGATAATGCCTCGGTGTTATGGCAAAGTCCCGTGTCGGCTGTGGCTCTCGCCGATTGGCATCTTGTATTTGTCGACATTCTGGGTCGCACCTGTAATGTTACACCCGCAGTGTTTAGATTTTAAGCCGCCCTTCCGACCGCGGAGGGAGCTGGAGTACTGTGTAATGTACAAGGAGTTTGGCTGCTGCGATTATGACAAAGACCAGGAGCTGATGACTCGGTTCTACGAGATTATGAATAATGTTGATTACTACGGATATGCCACTTGTGCGGGGTTCGTAATGGAGCTGCTCTGCCAGGTAGGCCTGCGTGGACAAAGGTCGCTTGGCCTTAGTCCAGTGTCCATCATGCGCCAGGTGTCTGACCAAACACCACAAACTTAAAACAACCAGAAGACGCCATTCTGGCACGTGTATAACTATAACAGAAACCAGCTAAACATAAGAATCTTTTAGTAAAACTACTAAATGTAGGCTTCCTTTTTAAGTGCACCGATGAGCTGATAGTTGTTTATACAGTCACACAGGCAGAAGATTTCACTGACACTTTTGCCATGTTGATGTACTGCCAGGTATTGGGTTGGCACCACATTATCAGGCCGGTGTAGCCAGTACTGTCAGTACAGCAGACTATGCTGTCTTACATTTCTTTGCTAAGACATGATTCAAATGAATGAATACTGTCCCTTCTCCAGCAGTGCTGCAATAATAAGAAATGTTATGACTAAAAAGTTGGATGTCATCACTGGTGTCAAAGGCACCAGCATCTTTTTGTCCTCATCTGTAAGACCTACCTGTCTAAGCTGCTGGCATATCTTTAGTTGAGTTCAGAACTCATAACATGACACCAGATCACAGGAGGTACTGGCTTTAACAGTTCCTCATTCCAACTTTGAACTGGGGAGGACTGGTTTCCAGTATTATACACCCTATACTATTGGAATGAGCTGATCACTGCCAGTCTAGTCAATGGCTGCGTTTCCAGTGGGTCTGGCTGCGTCACCTCTCCAACACATCCCACATGTGGCTCTGGGGTCCGTTTTGCTAAAGATACGCATCTAGTCTATTTTTGATGCATGATTCTGGGACGCCTCTGGCAAAGTTCGACCCACTAATCAGATAGCGCTTTCCCTGAAAGATATCTATGTATAGACACAAAATGATTAGCCTATGAGGATGAATGTATTGTTAACAACTGAAACATAGCCACAAATCTTTGATCCATGTTTCATAACAACTTAGCTGGAAACATTAAATTAAATGTAACTTTGTCTATATCCTAAGCTACAACACAGCAAAGTAGGAAATAAGAACAATAAACACAATTAAAACAGGCAAAAAAGAAACAATTTAACTATGAAACTTACATACCCATTGTAGAAGCTCAAAAACTAATTAAAATAGCCTACATATATAATCAGCACTCCACTGACGGCTCAAAGCCACATCACAGAGGGAACACAAAGCAGCTGCATCTGATGGGAACGTGGGGTAAATAAACAACCGCTTACCAGTAAGTTTGCCATATGAAGCCAGAATGGTTATGGCAGCTTGGCAGCTGTCATTGGTGGGCCAGAAACAGCTCATGCAGGTTAAAAAAAAAAACGACATACTACACATTTGTGTTGTCGCCATACTGGAATTTCACAAGGAAAAACAGACACACAACTGAGGACATAAAACCTGACATTTTATTTAAAAGATAAGTATAATAAGGCTATACAACAAGGTACAACTTTTCTTTTCTTAGCTAGTAGCCGAGAACAGCAGAATGACTAGTAGATACCAATAGGATTATTTTTTGTAATTTTATCTTTTTTATCACATTAATGAAAACAATATTCTTCTTGAGGTAGTTCACGTCTCGGACATACTGTGTGTTAAGAACAACAGCATCTAACTTAATTTACTCATTAAGGTGAAGTCTTTTCCTATCAGCTGAAATTCTGCTGTCTGAGATTCCTCAGGCCTGACAGGGGGATTAGCTTGACTTTGAGAAATACAGTTGGGGCAACAACAGGACAACACACTCAACAGTTTACTGGGCCATCTTATCTAGTGCTACACTGATGCTGAAATGGGAGCTGCCACCAATCTCTTGAAATTCTACATGGAGCTTGGTGTTTTGGTCCTTCAGGTGCTTTGCTGAATTTGTTGTGTTTCTCTGCCTTTTTCTTTTTCAACTGAAACTGGTTGCGACGGCTCTGCACTCATCATCTCTAATACACTAAAACCATAGCAAACCCACAATATACCACAGTTAGTTTAAAATTCAACTGGAGCAAGACGAGTGACGAGGCAGACAGCACTGTGCATGAGTGAGAGGAGGCGGAGCTGTGGGTATTGCCACCCTGTGTGTGTGTGTGTGTGTGTGTGTGTGCGCGCACACCCATAAGCTTGCTGTCAGACGGAAGAAAGAGCTTTTGGTATTGGTGTATCAATAGTATGGAAAATGAGTAGGTCTATTGAAACTTTTTCAACTTTTCAGAATTAATATGTATTGAAAAATGTATACTTTTGACAACACTACTACACATTGTCCTCAGTCTTCTTCCTTGTTGCTTCCTCTTTTCTCCTCACCTCTCTTCTCCATCTGTTCAGGAATGTTCTCCCTATGCGGCTCACCTCTTTGACGCTGAGGACCCGAACACCCCGGTCCGGACGGTCCCTGGCCTCTGTCCAGACTACTGCTCCCAGTTTTGGAGTAAGTGCAGCTCCATCATCCCTTTCCTATCTGATGACCCACACATAACCAAACTCAAAGAAGACCAGACTCGTCTCTGCCGGTACCTGGCGCTAGATGATGAGGACTACTGCTATCCACACCTCCTCAGCAATCAGAAGCTCAGCCAAAACCTGGGCCGGGTTCAGTCAGACTCAGAAGGTTGTCTGCAGCTATGTCTGGAAGAAGTGGCCAATGGGCTGCGGAACCCAGTAGCCATGGTCTACGCCAATGATAGAACACATCGGTTCTTTGTGGCCGAACAGGTGGGCTTAGTGTGGGTCTACCTTGCTGACAGGTCCAAACTGGAGAGGCCATTCCTGAATATCACCAAGGCGGTGTTAACATCATCATGGGAGGGTGATGAGAGGGGCTTTCTGGGACTCGCCTTCCACCCCATGTTCTTGTACACTGGGAAGCTGTACGTGTATTACTCAGTGGAGGTGGGTTTTGATGAGAGGATCAGGATCAGTGAGTTCCGTATATCAGGCAGCGACATGAATATGGTGGATCACACCACTGAGCGGTAGGTATGGACTGTAAAACCATGTTAGCTAGCAGCAATAGGTTTTTAGAGATCTGAAACATTTACAGCTCTGCATATTCCCTACAAATAAATTGCACACAAATATGAGTTATACCTGGTACTTCCTGTGTTGTATTTGTCATGTTCACTGTCCCACCAGGGTTATTCTGGAGATCGATGAACCCGCATCGAACCACAATGGAGGGCAGCTGCTGTTTGGACATGATGGCTACTTGTATATTTTCACAGGTGATGGTGGGATGGCAGGAGACCCATTCGGCAAATATGGGAATGCCCAGAACAAGTAAGAAGATTTGCTCTGGAGAATAATCTGAAGTAACAAAGTATCTATCAAAGAATGTAACTGTAGGAAATGTACCAAACAATCAAGACATTTTGGATCAGTGTGTTACATTTATTGCCTATTGCCACACTTATTTTAGGTCATCTCTCTTGGGTAAAGTTCTTCGTATTGATGTGGATAACAACCATAGAGGCCCGCTGTACAGAATACCTCCAGATAACCCCTTCCTACATGAGCAAGGAGCCAGACCTGAGGTTTTTGCTTACGGTGTCCGCAATATGTGGAGGTGCTCAGTGGACCGGGGTGACCCTTTCACCGAAGAGGGCAAAGGACGCATCTTCTGCGGAGACGTAGGGCAGAATAAGTTTGAAGAGGTCGATATCATTGAGAAAGGTCGGAACTACGGCTGGAGAGCTAAAGAGGGCTTCTCCTGCTACGATAAGAAGCTGTGTACCAACAGGTCTCTAGGTAGGCATGCTGTAGGAACTGCTTTAGAAACAGGCAGCAGCAGACAACAGTGTTGTAATAGAGGGCCAGACTGATGTTTTTCATTAGACACGAGCACCATGCCAGCTCTCTGCACAAACTACTGCAGTGTTTCCTGTCTGGATGAAACTAGCGTCTGTAGTGTTTTACTTGTATAAAAAGGCTGCAACAGGCTCTTGGCCCTCGACAAAAATTTTTACCAACTTGATGCTGCCACATAGTCAAGGAAATAAACTCATAATCACAAGTAAGGCAACTGTAATGGGCAACAGTGAAAGCAACATTTGATCAGCATCTGCCACAGGGAACCTACATCTTGTAAGCAGAATGTGGATCATCCTGTTGACAAACAGTAGACTCTTAGATGATGATTGACTATTAAATGATTTGATTGCCTAACTGTAGTTCATTTAATGCATTAAACTGTTTACAGTTGTCATAGAATTGTTGAATTATTTATACAGAAAGCGTGACTGCTCAGTTTAAATGCTGCTTTTTGCACACACTCACTGTCATAAGGATGGTTTTATGTGCACAGTACTGAGTGTAGCACAACTATATTTTAGAAGCGCCCAGAGCCTGACACACAGTCGCAGTTATTAGATAAAGAGACTGGAGCGGTTACACCACCTGTGTGGACTGGGATTGATTAAAATAGAAGCTTATGTGCACAACAACTGAAAAATGCATGTGAATTGCTTTCTGTGTAGACATGCTGTCAGACCATATTCTTTTGTGCATGCAATTGAACATATTCACAGTGAACACTGAAACTGGACTTAAAAATACATTTTTATTCAAGTTTAAAATCTACAGTGTCCCAGATAAAAAATCTAAAGGTGACTGTCAAAATGACTGGTTTTTCTGTAAAGAACTGGCTAAGATCCAAATGAAGGAGAACCACAGTAATGCCAACAGTGACCTTAATTCTTTTTCGCAGATGATGTCCTGCCTATTTACGCATACCCCCACAAGATGGGCAAGTCAGTGACTGGTGGTTATGTGTACCGAGGCTGTGAATACCCCAACCTGAACGGAATGTACATTTTTGGAGACTTCATGAGTGGGTGAGTGTTGATCTGGTAAATTGCATATTTTGTTTTCAAAATAACAGTAACATTGATGTTTGTGCTGAGAACAGCAGTGAAAAACTTTTGAAGAATGGAAACAAGGTGGTATCAGACCTAAAACTGAAGATAACCGATGTAGTTGCCTGCATTGCCGGTATTAGAGGATTTCACAAAACACATTCAATCACTACAAACTAGTTTGGACAAGTAACTAGAGTATCACTTCCCTGCCTTCTGGTGAAGCTCCTCTTAGTCCTTATGAAGCCAGAAACAGGCCCTTCACCAGTCATGTTCTCCACCAACTGTAACTTCCATCTTAAGGGAGCTTTTGGTAGAACTGCAACTGACCATTTTCATTGTTATAATTTTTAAAACTTGGATAGTTTAGTGTTTCTCACAATCTCTCAGAGGTCAGGTGATATTTTTAAAATTTGAAATAATTACATTCACAGGAAAATGACTGGTGACTTGCCTGAGTGTGTGGTTGTTTGTCTACATGTCAGCCTAGTGATAGACTGGCGACCTGTCCAGGGTGGACCGCGCCTCTCACTCAGTGTCAGCTGGGATTGGCTCCAGCACCCTGGTGACCCTATTCAGGATAAACTGTATAAGCTGTAATGGATGGATGGATGGATGGACATTCATAGGAAAATGCAACACAGGATAGTAGTAAATCCTCACACTGGGAAAGCTGGAAGACCAAAACCTGTTTTTGTATGAATGACTAATAGTTACTCAATTATTAAATTAGCTATTTTTCTGTAGTCGTCTAATCAATTGCTTAATTGTTTGAGTTCTTTTTTGTCATGTCGTCTCAAACATTTTCCATCAAAATCCACCCATTACTTTTTGCTGAGAACAAACCGACAAACTTAAAAACATAACCTTCTTTGGCAGAGGATATAAAACAACTCCTACTCATGCTGATGTGGCACTGGGTGAATAAAAAATACTTTCTAGTCAGTTTCCATTATTGTGGGCCTGTGAAACAGCAGAGAATCTGCTCAGTCGACTGATGTCTGGTGACCAAAACTGCAGTGAGGACAAGGTCAGTTATCTCTTCTCTGAAAAACAAATTCCAGCAAGAATAGTTTACAATAAACCTATCTTCAGACTCTGAGGCACTACAGTCTGACATCAAGGCTTACAGTGACCCTTATGATAAATAAAATATTGTGGTGAACACTTCACACTTGAGATTGTGGATTTTACTTCTGCTGCAGGCGTTTGATGAGTCTGCAGGAGGACAGACGCACAAGGCAATGGAAATACAATGAAATCTGTATGGGGAAGGGCCTGACCTGTGCCTTCCCAGGACTCATTAACAACTACCACCCGCACATTATCTCCTTTGCTGAGGATGCAGCTGGTAATGCATGAACACAGACAGAATGTCAAACCAGCCTATGATACTGTACTTAGCATTCTTTCCACACTCTCCATTTCTTTGAAATGTTTTTTCTTGTGTAATGTCTACTTACATTGTTTTTTTTCTTTCCATCAGGGGAGCTGTACTTTATGTCCACTGGAATACCGAGTGCTACATCAGCTTCAGGAGTTGTTTATAAAGTAGTGGATCCCTCAAGGTGACTAATACAACCAGTACTTTGATTTTTTCTTATTTCACTATTATTACACAAAAAAACTTATACTCTTCACTGTAACACACATCTGTGCAGTTCTATTTCTGTTTCATAAACATGGGTAACATAAACATCTCTACATGGTATGCCAGTGGGATGGGCAGTGACATGATCTTAACTCAGTGTTTTGTAGCATTGGTGGGATAACTTTCTCAGACTTTCCTCTTTTTTACCCAAACACAGACAGACAGTATGACCTCAACATTCAGTGAACAGTGAAGTCATGTTGGCAGCAGTGTGAAAGGCCTGCCATCTTAAAACTCTTCTCTCTGACATTGCTTCAGACAGGTCTTGGCTCTCTGCATTTCTCTTGGCAGTAGACAGTTGTGTCACCTAATTCATTTTCCAGCTATCAAGCTCAGTTTAACTGTTCTTTGACATGGTTGTGAATGGAACCGGAAGTTAAATACTTTAAAAGCATGTTTTTTCATTTGTCTTTATGCTTGTTTCCTGTGTTTACTTATATGCAAGTTTTCCATTTTGTAGTATTGTTTTTTTGCATTTGTTTTTCAGGCGCGCTCCTCCAAGACTGTGTCACTATGACCCTCGTCCTGTTACAGTAAAAAGTAATCTCATCAAGTTTGTTCCTCAGGAGAGTGAGTCCACTTACAAAACACCTGACGCTAACTAAAACTAATCTATTGTGTTCATCTGCTTACAGTATATTCATATTTGGTCTTGTGCTTTTGTTATTCTTCCATTAGCACTGATTGGCATTGATTTACCAAGCATAAACCAGCCTGAGCCACAACCCACAGAATCATACGACTGGCTTCAAGAACTCATTGACCGTCTAGCTGAACTAGGACCAGACCCAACCACCCCTTCAACAACCACAACTACCACCAAACCAAGGAGGAAAAACCGGCGCAGGAAGGGCAAATCCAGAATAGAAGGTGTACCTGAGATCCAGAATGGAGCAGTGAGACTTGTTAGAAACGATCATGGCCGCAGTGACCGTGGAAGGGTGGAGATCTACATTAATGGGGAGTGGGGCACCGTGTGTGACGACCTTTGGACCCCCAGAAATGCTGCAGTGGTTTGCCGGCAGCTAGGGTTCCGGAACGCTCTGAAGGCAGCCAAGAACGCAGAGTTTGGTGAGGGGAGGAATCTGCGCATTCTTCTGGATGATATACAGTGTGAAGGGACTGAGTCCAGCCTCCTGCACTGCAAACATGCTGGCGTGGGGACACATAACTGTGCCCACTATGAAGACGCCGGGGTTATCTGTGGCAACTGAGATGTTGTAGAGGTCTAAAAGTTTGACTACTATGAAGTCAGAGCTAATTATCATTACCTAAACCTGTTGTCTGAGAAATCAACAATTAATCCTTTGAAAAACATGTAAGCTATTTTTAGTCTAGTCTCAAGGTATTTTGACATTCCTAATTAATGCTCAGACCACTTTAAAACAACATAACTTGGTACCACAATATTTCCAGTAGCTACAGTGGAGTTAAAATAGAATAGGCTAAATGTGATCTATTTTGTTGTCAGCCCACAATAGAAACAAAAAGGGAGAGATCTTGTAGAATGCAGTGCAGCCAGAATATAAGCTTTGAATAAGATGCTTGATATGTTTTCTCTTTGTTTGTTTTAAATCAAATCCACAGGTGAATGCAGCCTAAAGCAGATGTAGCGACAGTCCTTTCATGAAAGGATTCCAGAAGTTATGAGATAACCTCTGTAATTAATTGTTAATTATATAATAGTCTACTACAAGAGTGTCTTTTACTTTGGTAATTAAACCTGCTTGCCAGCGGTTGCCTAATTTTAAGGTAAATGTTTATATTTTAGAGACCCCCAGCGTAGAGGAGAGAGACTAGCTACACTGGTACAGCTAAACTAGCTAGCAGGGCACTAGCACCTATGCTGTTCTTGATTAGCGATTATTCCAGGCCCCATACACCGCACGACTCTAGATATCGCCTCGGCGTGTTTTTTTTTTTTTACAGTGACCACAATACAACACTGCTTTTTCTGACATTTATTTAGAACTGCTGAAAAATATCACTTCCCCCAGGGTCAGTCTCACACATATAAGCCAAACTGACGGTCCAAAACACAGCACAGCAATTAACTTAGTAAAACATCGTCAGATAACACACCAGCATAAGTCAGCAACATTAACACATAACAACAATGGGGTAACACATAAGAAGACTTTAACTATTATAAGCTATTATTTCTGTGTAGCTTCTTCCGGTTCTTTCAAACCAGGAACTCTCAATGAGACGAAAGAGACTGCTTTAGATTGTATAAAAAATAACCGTGCTGGTTTATTCAGAGGATCACAGGTAAAATTCACAGGACACGTCCAGAGCTCTCTCACCCCTCTACCTGCGCGCAGGCAGCAGAAAGCTGAAGATTTCTGGACCCAACAACCTATATAATATTAATCATTTTTGGGCTAGCCCATGCTACAAGGGGCGTCAAACCGTGACGCCACCCGATAAGCAAGCTTTGCAGCTGCTCTATCGTTTAGCCAAAACATGAGGAAAAGTCAAGGTGCGTGACTGTTGTTTTCGTGGTGTGTATCTAAACAATTGGACATAACCTTACACATTAAGACAAATATTAAGACTAGCATTACAGTTGACACTAACAGCAGTTTTCCTGTAACCTTGACGTGCCTGCAATTTTACTGCAGGCTAATAGTTACAGCAAACTAGTCACCCTGTCTGCACTAAACATCTTCTAATACTGGGAGCACCCCTGCTTCTTGCCGCTGCCCCCAGGCCCCTCCAATGGCTGACGTGGATCGTCACAATATGAGATTTTATTTTTCTTTTTGTTCCATTTGAATGTAGGCTACAGTAGCCTATGCTTGGCTTCTCAGTGATTTATACAAGAAGTTTGACAATACATGTCTGAATCTTATATTTTCTAATGAATTGAAAGTTTATTACCCATGGTTGTACGGTTGTATCGTGATGTTACCAATTTGATAAACTATTTTAATAAAAGCACCTAATAAAAGCCAATCGGCACTGGTTTTCAGGCACACTTACGCCATTGGGCAAGTCTAACATTACATAACATCGTTCCTCGGAGCTCGATGGTGTAATGTTACTAGCAATGCATTCTGTTTATTAGTTTTTGGTTAAGTAGACGTGTTTGTTACGTAACTGCTACACAATTCTACACACAGCTTTACAGAACCGGGCTTTCGGGCTGCTGACTTTTACAGCAATAACTACTTGGCTGGCTAAGGATAGGTTTTCCACGCCTCAGCTAGCTAGTAGCTCACACAAATAACCCAAAATAAAGTACCTGGGCAGCTGCCAAAACACCGTGGCATCAATACAAATAAAAGCAAAAGAATCAATCCGCGCAGATGTAATGGCTCCATAGCTCAGTGGTTAGAGCACTGGTCTTGTAAACCAGGGGTCGCGAGTTCGATCCTCGCTGGGGCCTGATGTTTCTTTCATTTTTTCAGCGCCACAGTTTTGAGGTAGGTAGCTAGGAGTTTATTGATCCCAAAATGGGGAAATTTCCGTGTTCCAACAGCAGTAGAGAGCAGCAACAAAACACCATAAGAACAGACACCACACACATATCCTGAGAAACAAATTCCAAAGTACCTAAAACCAGACAGAATATAGTATTTGAGAGTGTAATACCCCAGTTCTTTAATTGGACAGTTGTGAATAACAAAGGAGTCTGTATTTCTTCATTTAGTGCTGATTTAAACCCACAAGTAAAAATTACAAACACGACCCGGGTTGCTCCCTCCTCCAGAAACACATACACTGCTGCTGGAAAAAAGGAGTCCCTGGTCACACAAAGCCTAATACATTTATAAGTTTTGGGCTAACCCTTTACCCAGATGAAGTCAGTCCGCAGACTCCATCTCTTATATAGTACTCCAAGTACCTAGTCATAAAAAAATGAAGAATCTCAATGTATGTGTATGTTGTCACATGGTGTGTAGTTAAGGCATTCATTTATTTATTCAGACATAATATTCTAACACAAAATTAATACAGGAAAACAATTGGTGTAATGGTTCACTTTTCAGAATCAACATTCTGTCTGCTAACCTTGAAACAAAACAGACTAGAGCAGACTTTGAATCTTACTAAATTGCATTACTAACACATTAAGGTCTAACAATTCCTAATATTTGATTTGATTTGATTTATTCTTTCAAGCATGTAAAAACAGTTGATATGACAACACACATAATTTTACACATAATCCAATATCAATTTGCTTATACCTAGTACATGCTTGAATGGAGTAGGAAGAAGTCAGACTTATCCAGTCCTACCCCATGACATCATCTTACCATCATTGGTTTGCAAGCAGTAAATAATTCACTTCTACCCACACACATATTATACTAAAAAAAGAATATAACAGTGTTAACATTCTTACATCACACAAGTGACCACTAGATGGCACCCCAGGACTGTCATTGAGCTGTAGCATTACAATCACTTCACAAAAGGCTTGTTATGGGTATTGTATGTGTACTGATTAAACAGTAGGAGCTAAATAAATATTGAATGTTCCGTATTGCATGCATTTATCATGTTACATGCAGCTCTCATGAGCAGTCACACTGTAGATGTAAAGAAATTGTATAAATGACTGAGAAATATTACATGTCAACATTTTCCTCATGTAACCATATTGTGTGTATTGAATGCTTATAATTGAAATATTTATATTTCTGAATTTTTATACCTATAGAGTACTCTGTTGTGTGTTAAACTGTGTTTGGCAGTTGTATTATTGTTGTATTACTTAACGGTTTTGGTGTTTGTTTTCATTTTTGAGTAACATTTCTTCAATTTAGACATAAAAATGTGAAACAAAGGTTGTATTGACTATGTTTTTAAGAAAATGCTTTATAATTGAATAAATGAAATTGAAATGTTGTACCAATGAGTTGTGACTTGATAAGTGGTTTGGACATTATGTT